TTTTAAACACTGTTTGTTATTCACAATTTGAAGTATATTTGTTTTCAGCAGCCTCTTCTTTAGCCAGTTTTGCATCATTAGGATCAGTAAGTTGTTTTTTTCAGTAGATTCAGACTGTCAGGTTTACAGTTTAAGAATGTGATTCACAGGTAGATATTTGGTTGCAATCTTCAAAAACCGATCAAATAGGTAAAGGCAGGTGGATTCATTTGTCAAATATCAAGGAAGGTAGAGTTTGCCCAGTGGAGACATTGCATGCTTATTTAGCAGTCTGCCCTGTGGTACATGGTCCTCTGCTGGTGCATAACTCAGGCTCTCCTCTAACACGTTTTTAGTTACAGAGTGTTTTGCAGTTATGTTTTGAAAGGCTTGGTTATAAAGGCAAATTTACTACTCATTCCTACAGAATTGGGGCAGCAACTGAAGCGACAAAATTAGGTTTTGGGGGGGGCGTGTCCGGCTGCCGACGAAGATGGCCACGTGAACAAGCTGCTCCTCATGGCCCCAGCAATAATTGTACCAAACTGAGCTTACCCCATGCTCAATCAACTCACCATTGGGCGCACAAAGAAGCTGACGGAACCCCAGGGTACCCCCAGACCATCGGAATCCGGGGCAGAGCCATCCATTCGCCCCTTCCTCATAACTCCATGGGACCTCACGTCCCAACCAGAAATGGAGGCCTCAAATGAGACAGCGACCCCCGCCAGATTCTCTGCGGCTCCATCAGCCTCGCCAGAAGCGCAGGGGACACTAGATGGGGACCTGTGAGCCCTCGTGCCCAATCTGCTTACAAAGGCAGATCTGGAAGCCCTCTTAGACCACCCCAGCAGAGTAATCAGGGATGAACTATCTCAGGTGAGGGACGCACGACTTACGGCTACAGAGACAGATACCAGAGCCCTCCAGTCCGACGGTGAACTCGCCCCCACTACAATTAACAGCTGTGAAGACAGCCTGGCCCACCTAACCACCTGGGACAAGGATCTCGATAATAGAGGCTGCAGGCTCAACCTCAGAGTGTGGGAGGTGAGTGAGGGGGGCCCGATAGAGAACCTACCCGAGATCCTACGCACAGTCTTCAGCCATGCCCTGGGAGCACAACAAATCCATAGACTGGGCCTGGTCAGAGCCCACCACGCTCTGCATGCACCGCCTGCAACCGGCGAACAGCCACGGGATATTGTCTGCTGCCTAGACAATTTTGCCATGAAGGAAGATATCCTGCACGGCACACGCCGCATGGGCATAATCCGCATCGATAACGAGCACATATCCATCTACCAGGACCTCTCCCGCTACACCCTGCAGACAAGAAAGGCTCTCAGACCAATAACCACAGCACTCCAAGCGGCAGGTATTCCTTACAGCTAGGGGTACCCCTTCCGCACCCAGAGGACTGGACCTCCACATTATACAGACCCCGACGGACGTCCCTGGATTCCATCGCTCCCTAGGGCTCCCGCTGGTACAGGTTCTGAACTGGCTGGCCCACCAATTCCTATGCCAAAAGACGGGCCCTCCACCGCCACCACCGGGCAGAGATCAGGGCAGGGACAGGCCCCAATGCAACCGCCCATGGCACCCAGACCCAACAAGGCCAGAAGAATAAAACCTGCAGCAAAACACCTTAACACGCTGAGGGGGGACGAATCACCAAATTACCCTCCAACACTCAACGAACTTGTGAGTACGTTATTCCATTATCTGGGTATACTGTCTATACATATGTTACGATTGCCCCCGGTCTAGCAGGGGGGTTGATCGCTTGGATGTCCTGGTTCCCGCAGTAGAGAGTCGAACGGAGTTCCTTCGGTGAAAGCTGCAAGTGTAGAGTATCCCAAAAGCGGTATAATCATCAATATCCCGGATCCCTACAACATGAGTCGAGGCTGCAAGTTGAGGGTCAAAACGAACTGAGTTTACTGGCACACAAACATGGCAATTTATGCAAGTCCTCAGGTCCAAGGACAGCCCCTGTGAACCTGATGGAATACAGGTACAGTACAAACAGGTAACCAATCACAGTACAATGTATCATTTGAATTAGTACCCGCCCAGCTTGGAGAGGCCAACGGTTATACAATCTAATTATCTCCAAGCGCACAAAAGACCACGTTTTATTATGCCTCATAAAACTGTATAAAAATACATAACTTCAACATTAATAGGAGAAAACGGTTCATTCTACCATTCATTCAATAGCTCGCGTTCGGGTACATTAAATATACGAATGGCGCTCCAATCCTACGAACAGAATGATCTATTTTTGCCGTATAAAGTCCGTTCGGTATTTTGGGTTGTGAGTCCCTGATGGCGGCCATGTTTTTAGATGGTTTAACGAGCAGCGGGACCTCGCCTCCAACTTATGGAACTGAACTCGGGTATAGGTTCATGCGAATCCCCGCTGTCTGTCTGGTAGTGGAAATCGTTCTGTACACGTATTAGGACCACCTGGGAGCACGGTACTTGAGTTGCGGTTAACCGCAGAAACCACAGGCTAATTGCTGACACACGACCCACGGTAGGGGGTCTCCATTCATGAGGTTATTCGGTAGTTCCCATTCGGTGATTTGTGGGCGAACGTTGATCCTCCTTGCCCGTCAATTAGTTTGTGGATAACCGCAGACCGCAGCCGCCTGGGTGGTTAATGGGCGCCACACTCTGCTTGTCGGGTGGTCGGCCATTCGGTACTTTGCGGGGTGAGGAGGTTAATTGGGGGCACACGCCAGCATTTGGGGGGTCTCTTGTTCGTATCACGAATGGGTCTTTATAAGGATTCGTATAATCCATTCGTGTTTCCCCGTGGTAAAAGTATAGGGCTGCAACAGTAACAACATGTGATAACAATAATGGAGTCATTTCAAGTCTTTTGTAACAACATGCACTGCACCACAGGGGGGATATGATATACACCTTGGGGAGGGGTCACATAGGGGACCAGGACACAGATGCACATTGGGACTAAACTTAAGAAGGGGGGAGTGAGGAGTAATGGGGAGAGAGGGGGGGGACAAAAAGGACACAATGGAGGGAGGGAGGGAAGGGACAGAAAGATCTGCCACACAAGGACGAGAAATTAGACAAATGTAACTGCAGGGGATATGATAAAACAGAATGCACACAAATGCAGACACCACAATGAGAAAGGAACCTCAGATCAAACGTGAGACAGGAGGAAAACAAATAGAAGGAACGGGTGTAGATGCATCCACCTACAAAGGTTTTATGAAAAAGGAATCTGTTCTGAATGTAATTAGCAGTACAACGCTGTGGTGACCACCACCCCAACACACACACTGATTCACTAACACGACCACCCATGTCCCATACCACTACCCCCCCGCCCCCTTTTCAGGAGAACACGCACAAAGCAACATGCACCCAACCTCACCCCAACCCACGAGATATTCACACACGCGCCTACGCCCTGCAACCCACACAATGGAATACGACCAAGAGACGACCGGGGACATGTAACCCACAAAACGGTCTACACACAGATGGCACAGCGCACGACATGTCCCATGACCCACACACATAGGGGTATCTTACCCGGACAGGAAAAAGGGTCTGCACAAGCCACACCACCACACTACCAGTCAAACACTGGTCACTGTCGCAGACGGCTGGACAAACAGATATACCCAACACAACTCAAGGCTGACTGGGGCTACCCCCCCATCAGCCAGGGACAGGTGCTCCTGCACCCCAAAGGGTAAGAACTAGGAGCACTCCCACTTGGGCAGAGTGCCTTTGTCCAGGAGTGGTCCCGGACGCCAGACCTCCTAAGTCTGTGGACCCCTCTACCAGGACCTCAGTCCACTAACCCGATCTAACTCTAGGTCCCATCAGGACCGACACACCAGCGCACACATACACACTCCCCCTCCCTTTTTTTCTCTTTTCTTTCCCTTCGCCTCTCTTTCCTCTCCCTGGCCTTCTACCCACCCCTCCCCCCAATGTGCCGCCCGCCGCGGGAGCCCCAGATGGCCGTCCACCGAACGCAAGCCCTGGGAGATACCCGCTACATTAGGGAAGATCTGAACGTCATCTCGTACAATGTTCGGGGCCTCAACATTCGGAAGAAGCGCTCCTGGCTCCTGCGAGATCTGAAATGATACCGTAATCTTCATACAAGAGACACACTTTCAGGAGAACTGTACACCATCCCTACAAGACTGCAACTACCCACAAGGACTCTTCTTGCACCGCACATTGGGTGTAGGCATCCTGTTCTCCAGGTGGATCCCTTTCGTCGAATCAGACACACTCCGCTGCCCTCATGGCAGATACATCTGTGCGAAGGGGACCATCCACAACCAGACGTACACCTTCACAAATATCTATGCACCGAATGCTAATCAATACAGATTCCTCCGTTCGACACTAGCCATCTAGATGAGATTCGCAGATGGCACTTTGATCATAGGTGGGGATTTCAACCTACCGTTCCGTCACCAAGACACTTCAGCAAACCCCGCTCAACAGACACCCAACAGACACACACGGACAATACAGCTACTTCACCGTCACCAACTCACGGACAGCTGGAGAGCACTGAACCCCGCCGCAAGGGACTACACATTCTATTCCACGACCCACACCACCTACACCAGGCTGGACTACTTCCTCCTGCCATACCACCATCTGCCTCTCCTTGTGGAATCAGAAATTCTACCCATTTCATGGTCAGACCACAACCACATCCGCATAAAACTCAAGTCACCCTTGTTCAGACCCCGCCAGGTATGAAGCGTCTCAATGAAGCGATCCTTGCAGACCCAGCCCTGGTCACAGCAACAAAACAAACTATCCAGGACTACTTCCTCACTAACGAAACCGAAGACACGACACCCCTGATGTGCTGGGAGGCACACAAAGCAGTGCTACGTGGACACTTTATTGTGCACTGTTCGGCACAGAAAAAGGCACACAACCAGACAGTAATAGACCTCAACAAGGAGATAGCGGAACTGGAATACCGCCATAAACAGACAATGGACCCCTCGACGTACCGTGACCTACTTCTCAAGCGCAACCTACTAAAACAGCGCAGGAATCACCTATATATTCCCAAGATTAAAAACGCTAACCAGCAAATGTGCCATCTACTGGACCAGATTGCGGCTGCGTTCACCCAATATTACGAAGACCTCTACAATTTACGACGAGCCGCACAAGCTGCTGGGCGCCCCCGCAGAAGCGAGGCTAGCCGTGCATACAGCAGAACTAAGACAAGTAGCCGCCTCGGACTGGGATGAATTGGACGCCCCTATAACCATGGAAGAACTGACATACGCAATCAGAAAGGCAAAGCACCAGGGTCAGATGGACTACTGCTACTATATTATAAAACCTTCCTACCGGACCTCCTGTCGAAACTACACTCAGCCCTGAATTCAATTCTAGACAGCGCTACCCCCTCAACCCAATTCACAGCAGCAAACATCACCATCCTCCCGAAAGAGGGTAAAGACCAGATTGCGGCTGCGGTGACAACTGCGCAAGCTACCGCCCGATATTGGTCCTGGATGTGGATGTCAAGCTCCTGGCAAGCATGCTGGCCAACCGCTTGGCACCTCTACTCCCGGACCTCGTCAACCTAGACCAGACGGGGTTCATTCCAGGAAGAGAGGTCCGAGACACCATACGGGCACTGAACCTGATCTCCGTAGTGGTGCAGTCCAACCAACAGACTCTCATCCTCTCCACGGATGCCGAAAAAGCTTTTGATAGGGTAGACTGGGAATTCCTCTTCAAAACCCTCCGGAGCCTGGGCATCGGCCCCAAATACATACAATGGGTTGAGGCGCTCTACAGTGAACCGACGGCTAGACTCTGCATCAATGGGGCCCTCACGGACCCGTTCCACATACGCAACGGAACACGCCAGGGATGCCCCCTATCCCCCCTGCTCTTTGCACTAACCCTAGAGCCATTCCTTAATAAAATCAGAGGCAACGAGGCGATCCGTAGACTCAGTATAGGCCGATTACAACACAAAGTTCTGGCATATGCAGATGACCTTCTCTTCATTGTACAACACCAGGCCACGACGCTGCCCACGATCATGACTGAATTCAAGACATACGGCAAAGTCTCCAACTTACGCATCAACTACACTAAATCAGAAATCTAAATCAAAAATCTTAAACTTGGATTTCCCGGCAGTAGACATGGGCCCCACCCTGAGATTAAGGACCAACACCGCGATACCCCGAATGGTGGACATACTCACACCCCCATGCACAATAAAGCCAATAGCAGACCTGTTTCCGGACCAAAGGCACACCTTCCTACATGCTATAGCAAGGGAACAACTACAGCGATGCACGTTCGATCCCCCAACAACTGATTCTTACATGGGATGGTACGAAGTTTGAGTCCCTGTGCCTTTCAGATGCACCCCCCCGAGAGCGATATCCCAGATATGCACCTCATTGACACCTTCTGGCACCACCGTGCATCAGGCGCTGGGAATAAGACCTGGACAAAACACTCACAGATGCAGACTGGGATAAGATCATTACACTCACTCAGAAGACCCCAGGATCAGCAAGGCTCCAAGAAAATTTGTATAAAGTATTTACGAAATGGTACATCACCTCAGTGAACCTACTTTCAGGATTCCAGAATGATCCAGCACGTAGAATTGTATAGCACAGAGGACTGAATGGTAACGTATACCGTACCTTTGAATGGCCGGACTAACGTACCAAAGAATAGTCAGGAATAGCCGAGATCAAGGCAAACAGAAAGAGACACAACGATAAGGAAAAGCCAGGAGTCAGGGATGCCAGAAAACAGTGAAGTCAAAAACAATGACAAAGTCAAATAACCAGAATTACCAGAATCAATAACGCGCTCTCGGACAACCACAAGGGAAACCACGACAGGGCACTGAGCAGGATGAGAACTGGGCCTAAATACCCCTCTAGATCTGACCCCATTTCCCATTTGGTTCCCATTTCATAATTGCTGCTCAGCATTAAGCCTTCTGTGGATTTGGATGCTGCTCGGCACAACTTTTCCTGTGTGGACAGTAAATGTCATTAACCACATTTTTATAAGCGGATGGATACGTGACACCTACATGCTAGGGACAGCTCGAAATCAAACATGTGCTGGCAATGCGGACTGGGTCATTTCTCCACCTATGGTGGGACTGCTCCCTCATATGGACGTTTTGGGAAACAGTAGGTCGAGTGATCAACGAAATTGCAGATGAATACGTCTCGATGACACCAGCACCTTTTCTACTACACCGTACAACAATACCCGTGCCGGCATATAAACGATCAGTGATACCGAGACTCCTCAATGCAGCGAAAGCAACAGTCACAATCTTCTGGAAGCAACGACGCACCCCCTGACTCAGGCGTTCGGTAAAGGAGGTGGAAGACATCCGGAAATTCAAGGACCTGAAGGCAACAACAGCGAATGCAAAATAGAAACATGTAAAGAGATGTTTCTACTGGCTACGACATATCACCTCAGATGACTTTGTGACACTCTTGAATGCACCTGAACACCGGGAGGAGCACACGGGAGGCTTGTGAAAGGCGACCACCTGGGGCACCAGCGGAGCGGGGTTACCCGGAACGGGGACGGGAGATAAACAATGACCGGATGGTAAAGATATCCACCTGCTCCCAAGCCACCTCCCCCTCTGCCCTCCACCCCTCCTCTTTTTTTTTTCTCTATTGTCCCACCCAAGTTCCTGAAGCGTGCTTCACACGAACACATCCCCTAGAGGGAGACACACATGCACAAAGATGTGCGAACATAAACAAGACCATATGATTCAGATAAGTGCACAACCCCATAAGCTACACACCAGAACACCAAGACTCGCGACAGAAGCTTCAGACCGAGACACCCAAAACCCCACCAGACGGGAGAAGAACCACATAATACACATGCAGCATACGTGGCTGCACAGCCCTTCAACTACTATGACACTACCCAGACACACATACACCACCATCACCAAGACAGAGCCAGCCCCGTCTGGTAAGATGCATTCATAAACCAATAAACCATCCGTATTGAACTACGCAAATACATCAACACTACACCAACACGACCACACATACGTGTAATCATTGAGCCACAAAAACGCTCTCACTACTCAACACAAATATGAACAGGTGGCAACGCCAATATCAGCACAATTTTCGGCAATAGCCTCCTAGATACTAGGAACAATATACTATTGCAATGATTTACCCGATGGCTAAACGTGTACAAGTTCATACCAGATGTACAATACACAGTGCCTCTGCGCAGGCACCAAAATGACTAAATGTGGTATATATGCTATGATTACACATGTGAAATAAAAACATATTTAAAACAAAATGAGGTTTTGGAGCAGATGCAATTAAGAAGATTGGGAGGTGGGAGTCAAACTATTTTAAGTTATATGTGTAAAATGACATGATGTAATGTTTGTTTTTTCCTCCTTTCACTCTTTTATTAGTAGGAGCAAGGATATGGGCTGAAGTTGGACTTCAATCATGATGACGTCGCAATATATTGGAAATTCACCAGTTAATGGAGCTCATATTAGACTTGGCCTGCTCCAGATACTTTAATAATTCATATGGGGGGTAATGATATAGATGTTGTTAAATCAGTGCAGTTATTACGTAAGGTTAAAAATGTTTGTTTGGAATAGAGAAAGTTATTTCCTTACATCATTCTAGTTTGGTCAGAGATGGTCCAACGCTGGTAATAGTTAACAAACCGAGAGTTAAAAGCGCTGGAGAGAGTGCGTGGAAAGTTGAATTTGGCAATGTCAAGATTTTTGCCATGGTTGGGCAGGTTTTCATACAGGCATTTAGAATTAGATCAGAATGAACAGGGCCTGTTTACTAAAGACCAGGTTCATTTGTCAAATATCGGTCTGGATATTTTTTATCTGGATCTGCAAAACATGATAGAAAGGGCCTTGGCTGTGGAGGGAAGTTCTGAGGAAGGATATGTGTTAAATGGTTGTATATAAAAGGCGGCCAGGTTAGCTATGACTGACTGGCAATAAAGTGATGGTGAAAGTTAAAAGTTTTGGAAGTAAAATGAAAGTGTATATGAATATGTTACCGTTATCAAGTTATGGTGGTATGCCCCCTTTCAAGCTTTAAATAAACACCACAGTCTAGCCCATTGAAAAGAATAATCTGTGTCTGTGTTTATTGTGTGTTCTAAGTTACTTATGCAAAATATTTCCTACCATACATAAAGATGCCACAGGCATTAAGCACTGTGGCATATACGTATGGTGGCAATAGAGAGTTAATTGTCCTATTGGTACAGTTAAGAAATGTTTAGTGAGAGTTCATGGATAGGTTGTTGGGCAGAGTGGGACAAGTAGCTGGGCAGATTTAGTGACACAGCTGTTGCTGGGGAAAAGAGCTGGCTGAGGATTGGTTGCTGGCCGTGAGCCAGCAAAGTGCGGGAAGCCAGGAAAGAATAAAAGGTGGCAGCGCAAGCGCAATCCCTGTCAGCTGTTTGCAGGACAGGAAAAGCACAGACTATTTGCTAACTTTCTTTATAATTAATGTCATGGTGTTTGGAAGCTTGGTGCAAAGTCATCCTCAGGTTCAAGTTCTGAGGAAGGATATGTGTTAAATGGTTGTATATAAAAGGTGGTCAGGTTAGCTATGACTGACTGGCAATTGATTGATGGTGTAAGTTAAAAGTTTTGGAAGTAAAGTGAAAAAGTTTATGTGAATATGTTACCATCAACAAGTTATGGTGGTATGCCCCCTTTCAAGCTTTAAATAAACACCACGGCCTAGCCCATTGAAAACAATAAACTGTATCTGTGTTTATTGCATGGTCAAAGTTATTTTTGCAAAATATTGCCTACCATACATATATTAATTGATGTATTTAGCGAACACCAACTTTAAAGAGGTTTGACTCTACGTGTATTGGACACTCTAAAATACAGGTCTGCCTATGGTCCTATCTTATAGCACTGACATTATGCAGCAACTTTAGGGCAGTAGAGTCAGACCTCTTTAAAGTGTCAAATACATGCATCATTAGTTTAATTTTGTTTTATCGGGCATGGTCTCTTACTAGTCAGGTGTTAAATGCACCCCACAGAATGGGCAGAGATATTTTCCAAGTTTTTCTGCCTTGTACTTGTGTTGTATTTGATTGATTATATTTTTGCTTACTTGGTCTGTTTAAGCTAAAGCATGTGCATATTTACAAATGTAAACATGTTTTAACATCTGTTACTAACCTAATG